ATGCCACCAATAATATCTTTTATTTCTAAATTACTTTCTTTAAACACAGTCTGAAGATTTATTACAGCTTTTTGTGAATCATTTCCTCTTCTACATATAATGTATACTAGAACGAAAATATATAAATTTAATTATTTATAATTTAATATTATAATATTATTATAATTATTTAATATATTTAATTTAATATATTATATTTAATATAAATTAATATACACTTACAAGTAGTTTTATCATATTTTTTTTGCATTTCTTGTATTTTATTTTTTATAAAATTTATTTTTTCATCATTATTAATATCATTCAATGGTATATTTATAGAATTCTTTAAATGACAAATTTCAAATTCTTCCGCTGAACGTACATCGATTAAAATATGAGGTTTCGCGTCTAATTTCATTGTGTTATATTCTTCTACACTTATTCTTTCTTCCTTTTTTAATAAATTTAAGTTTGGATTTTTATCATTTGCTTTTGCACCACAAAATTGTTCATAATCAATTAATTTGTGTATAGTTGGATGATCACCGCAAACGACACAGTTTACATTTTTAGCACGTAAACTGATATTGCGAAACTTCGTTTCTAGTCCATCAAATAATAGAAGTTGACCAGATAGTATACACGGAAGATCGAGTACAATCTTAAGAGCTTCTAATGCTTGTAGGATACCAATTGTGCCAACGGCTGCAGTTAAATCAAGTAATGAATATTTTTTCATGAGAAAATATAAAATAAAAATAAATAATCGCATATACCTGGACCAAAAACACCTCCATCCCCACAATTTGTTACTGTTTCTGGAGGAGGAGGTTTAGGAAATATGCATCTATAGCAAGGTCCATTATAATTAAAAACAGATAAATGACCTTCAAATTTTAATGCTGATCCAGATACCAGAGGTTTATTATTTAGAACACATGCATCATTCAATAAATAACGTGTGGCTACATTATCAGTAGCATCTAATATTACATCATAACACTTTATTATATCCAAAGCATTATTACTATCTAGTTGAATTTTGTACGGAATAACTTTAATAGTACTATTCAAACTAAAATTGATATAATATATTTAATTAAACATTATTAATTGATTATAAAATTTATGCATATTACATTGATTTACAAATACCGATTAAGAGTTTCTACAGCAGCATTTACTTTTGATATTCCAATATTTGATTCTGTATATAATAATTGTCTATGAAGATTATTAATCTCGATATCATCATAGTCAATAATACCAATATGTCCAACACCAGCAGATGCTAAATATAATGCAGCAGGACATCCAAGTCCACCTGCTCCTACGATTAATATTGCACTATTTTTTAATTTTATTTGACCTATAAGTATGCAATAAAAATATTATAATTGAAGAATACTTTTATTTTTTATATATAGAATTAAAAATATATATTTAACAGAAAATATTAAGTATTGAAAATGAAAATCATTTATTGATATCATTCAATAATATATTTTAATTATTTATGAATAAATTACACACCTTTAATGCCAATTTCTGGCAAAAAAATTTGTCTACTATATCTTAATATTTCTTCATTACTTAAGCCATAATCTTGTAAAATTTGTCTTTCGCGCCTTAGAGCAGCTAATTGAGCTTCTTTTATGCGTAACAATTCACGTAATTCAATAATTTCATCAATCAATTTTTTTTCATTCATTTTCATAGAATAAAGTTTTTAAAATGAATTGAATGAACGAAACTGAATGAATTGAATATTATTATTATACTATAAAAAACTTTAAAAAAAAATTGAATTTAAATCTTTTTTATCGAAGATTTAATTAGGTTATATTAATATTTATTAAAAGATGGATGTTCGAAAGGTTAATGATAATAGATATATATGTATATATAAGAAATAACTGATTAGAAAATATAAATGATAAAATAGAAATAATTGTTCTATAATATTTAATGTTTTATTATTAATTATAGATACTGTTTATTTTTAAATATTTTATAATGTACTAAATTTAAGTATATATATATATATATATATATATATATA